TTTTTGTTGTTAATTATAATAAATGTTCTGCATACATAGGAAATAGCAAAACATTGTAATTAATTATTTGTTTATTAAAAATCAAATTCTATACTATCCCTATATATATAGCACACAATTGTTGCATACATGCCTTGATATACTATATAAAATTATTTTTATCTTATACAAGGTACGATCTTACCAAAAAAAATATATCAGTAGGTGAACGAAAATAAATAGTATATATAGAGTATATGTTACAACACTGTACATGTAATCAATTGTGACAATATGAGATAAAAATGTTAAATGAATAAAGAATGCTTATGTGTTATTTTTTTTATTTTTTAAACCTGAAATAATTTTATTAAAAATGTTTTACAAAATCTATTTTCATATCTTGACAAATTGGTTGTACAATAAAAAGATTGCACGTGAATGTGTTCTATTATTTAAATCGACTACGAACATCCATTAACGTGTTGAAAATTATTAAATAAATTTGTCTAATAACTTCCTCAAAGCAATCTTTCCATAATTAATTTAATGGTTTAAATTTAATGTTATCAGCAGCTAAACGGAAAAGGCTTTTATAGTATCTTATCGTTTTGGTAAGGAATGCAATGGTTAGTTTTTATATTTATTAGACTGGGCCAAAAAAATCAACTATTTTTTTTTAAAAGTATATTGAAAATATGGTTTGGGGTGACAAAAACAAATTATTGTGAAAGTTTGAGTCCATAATATTAATATTAAGAGGTCTATCATCGCAATTTTAATTTTTTTTTCCTCAGCAAGTTTTTGTCTCAGAACTCCCAAACCATTGAGTTTAACAAAATTTACTAAAAAGTATTTTTTTAAGAAAATTAAATGCCCTACAAAAAAGGTTAAAGTATAATTTTCCGTCAGATGAACCGTTTCCTTAAAATCATGCCTTAAAAATTGGTATAGTTTTACATTTGATCTTTTAAATTGGAATGTTGTAATTCATGTAAAAATCAGTACCCAAAAAAAAACGATAGATATTCTTATGGGAAATCAAATGCTTTACAAAAAAAGCCTCTCAACATTTTTGGCTAAATTCACTCAATCAAAAGTTATTCAAGGTTAAAATTTCGTTTTGACTTCAAATTTAACCTTGAATAACTTTTGATGGAGTGAATTTAGCCGAAAATGATAAAAGACTTTTTTGTAGAGCATTTAATTTCCCATAAGAATATTTATCGTTTTTTTTCAGGGTACTGATTTTTACATGAATTGCAAAATTTCAAAGTTAAAAGATCAAATTGTAAAACTATACCAATTTTTAAGGCATGATTGTAAGAAAACGGTTCATCTGACGGGAAATTCCAATTAAACCTTTTTTGTAGAGTATTTAATTTTCTTCAAACAATATTTTTAAGTCAATTTTGTTAAACTCAATGATTTGGGAGTTCTGAGACAAAAACTCGCTCAGGAAAAAAAAAATTTAAAATTGCGATGATAGACCTAATAATATTATTATGGACTCAAACTTTCACCATATTTTTTTTTGTCACCACAAACAATATTTTCGATATACCTACTTTACAAAAAAAAAGTCAATTTTTTGGCCCAGTCTAATATTTATTATTAAGTTTTTAGTGTAAAATTACATTTCAGATTGTTTTTGCTTCTCATGACGACGTCAGACTCCAGTCCAAAATCATTTACGGTTTTGTAAGTCGACGAAATTTTAAAGTTCAACACAATCTTTGCCAGAGCAGTTTTCATTAACATCAAAGCGTATTTCCAGCCTGAAAATGTCAAGTTTAACTTAGGTACTTAAATTAAAAATTGTGAGATAATCACCTATACAATTTCGAGGTCCTGCAGAAAAAGGTATAAAGCTGTACTGTGGCCTTTTTGATGATTCTTCAACACTAAACCGTTCAGGATCAAATTTCGTGGGATCAGGGTAAAAATTTTCATCATGGTGTAGATTATAGACTGATATTATTAATTCTGCACCCCTTGGTATAATTTTTGTACCTAATATGTTTATTTATTTTCTTGAATTAAAAACACAAAATTAGTATACTTAGTTACCCAAATCTATATCCTCATGCGCTGATCTGCCCAATATAGGAACTACTGGAACAATTCTTAAAGTTTCCATCAAAACCATTTCTGTGTACTTCAAATCCAGTAAATCAGTATAATCCAATGGCTTCCCGGATGATAAATTAGGATTTGTTTTGACTTCCTTATATATTTTTTCCTAGGTATGCATATACATTAGACTGGGCCAAAAAAATCAACTATTTTTTTTTTGAAAAGTATCCCTGCCGAAAATGCCCCTTTAAGAACAATAGAAACCAATGAGAATTTATGTTGTAATGTATTGGGTCTTATAGGTTTGAATCTGGTGAATTGGTATCAATTGGAAAACATAATTGTCTTGAATTGGTTTGATTGGGTAATTCCCATTTAGCCCTAAACCGTATGGCGACATATAAAACCCAATAAAAACCAGTACCAATACACATATTCAGTCCGGTACAAACCATTTCATTCTCTTATTGGTTTCTATGGGTCATTTTCGGCAGGGATATCGAAAATATGGTTTGGGGCGACAAAAAAAAGTTATTGTGAAAGTTTGAGTCCAAAATATTAATATTAAGAGGTCTATCATCGCAATTTTAATTTTTTTTCCCTCATCAAGTTTTTGTCTCGGAACTTCCAAACCATTGAGTTTAACAATATTTTTTTAAGAAAATTAAAAGCTCTACAAAAAAGGGTAAATGAAATTTTTCGTCAGATGAACCGTTTCTTTAAAATCATGCCCTAATTAGTTAGCTAAACATTGGTATAGTTTTACATTTTGATCTTTTAACTTTGGAATTTTAAAATTCATGTAAAAATAAGTACCCATAAAAAAACCGATAAATATTCTTATGTGAAATCAAATGCTTTACAAAAAAAGCCTCTTAATATTTTTGGCTAAATTCATTCAATCAAAAGTTATTATGAAGTCAAAACGAAATTCTTGTCAAATTTAACCTTTAACTTTTGATGGAGTGAATTTAGCCAAAAATGTTTAGTTTAACTTTGGAATTTTAAAATTCATGTAAAAATAAGTACCCATAAAAAACCGATAAATATTCTTATGTGAAATCAAATGCTTTACAAAAAAAGCCTCTTAATATTTTTGGCTAAATTCATTCAATCAAAAGTTATTATGAAGTCAAAACGAAATTCTTGTCAAATTTAACCTTTAACTTTTGATGGAGTGAATTTAGCCAAAAATGTTAAGAGGCTTTTTTTGTAAAGCATTTGATTTCACATAAGAATATTTATCGGTTTTTTATGGGTACTGATTTTTACATGAATTTTAAAATTCAAAAATTTAAAAGATCAAAATGTAAAACTATACCAATGTTTAGGGCATGATTTTAAGGAAACGGTTCATCTGACGAAAAATTTCATTTAACCTTTTTTGTAGAGCATTTAATTTTCTTAAAAAAATATTTTTAAGTAAATTTTGTTAAACTCAATGGTTTGGGAGTTCTGAGACAAAAACTTAATATTAATATTATGGACTCAAACTTTCACAATATTTTTTTTGTCGCCCCAAACCATATTTTCGATATACTTTTCAAAAAAAAAATAGTTGATTTTTTTGGCCGAATCTAATATACATTTAAGAATAAAGAAATAATATTTTTGATAAAATGTAGGTACCTGTATTTCTGGATGCATCCCTAAGAGAACGCAGGCAAATGCCAAGGCGGCTCCTGTAGTGTCAGATGCCTACAAAAATATATTTTATTTTTTTGTGTAGTGATTTTTATTGTTTTTACCGCAAACCAAAATAAAAGGATTTCTTGCACAAGATGTTCTTTTGAAAATGGCTCGTTTTCGTTTAAATTTGGTAGGACGTCCATTAAAGTTTTTCTATTTGTATCTAAAATATAAAAAAATTACCAGAAATTAGCAACAATTTTATTGTTGGCGATTTTTTAAATGTAGGTAACGATGCTGATGGTAAACATTTTTATTTTGATTTTTATTTTAGCATATACACGGGTGAATCTCACGAAATGGTGTTACCACGTGATATTTAATAAAACTAAATGAATGAATACACTTTTATTGTGTTTTGATCTTTCATAATTAAGTAGATATTACAGCTCAGGTTCCAGATTTTTAACCGCAATTAATTATTTTTACAATGTTTTAAAAGTCTAAAACCTATCCTCCGTGACGGTTACTCTTTCTAGGTAAACATATCCAAACAATCGAATCAAATTAAAATATTAAAAATTAAAAGAAATAATTTTTATAACCATTTATGTAGGTGTTACAAAAATTGATTCTATCCTCCGTGAATCTGTTTTTGCTTAAAAATTTTATGCAACGGATGGCGCTTTAATCATCTGTTTACGACATATAGATGCATATGATTCCTAAAGGTCAGTTAAAATTTATATGCGGTTGAGAGTGTTGCTGTTTTATAATTCAAAAGTTTAAGTTCATTAATTTGCTATTTAAAAACCTATCCACCGTGAAGTGTAGTAAGTAGATTTTTTTATAAATATTATATGTATGTACAATTGTATTTTTTTAAAATATTAAGGTGTCAAAAGATACAATATCTTATTTCAAATATACAAAGGGATGTTTAAAAAAACATACGAAATCCTAACCTTCGTGAAGCTCTAATATTCAAAATGTATGATTTTTTAAAATTCTTGCATTAGTGCAGAACCACTTATGTTTAGTTATTACCAGACCTGGTGGCTTCCCAAAAACCCCATTCTAGACTATCAGTTAAAACAAAATTTACTTACTCTTTTCCTGGAATTCACTTTTTGTCATAGCCTCCGAAATGAAATTTTTTAAATATCTTATCTTCTCATTCAATAAATTCCCATCCCCAAACTTATAAAACATGAAGTTTGAGTACATTAAAGGATTAAATAATCTTCTTATTGAAATCTTTTGCATTCTAAAAATATATTTTAAACTCGTCTTTAATAATTTAATTTAATAACTTTTTACTGATGAATCATCTCGAAATATTTTGTATGTTTTTTGAGTTGTATATTGAAATCAACCCCTATTGTGGTTTCCAAAAAACTGTCCATGGCGAAATTTTCGAAGATATTAAACAAATTAGCTTCATCGTTTTTTTGTTTTAATACGTGCAAAAGAATGTCGCTTTTTTCGCTGAAAATCGTCACGTTTCTATCTAAAATGTTCTGGGTGAAAGCTTTGGCAAATATTTTTCGGTTCTTCTTCCATTGTTCCACTAAAAATATTGCTCAGCAATTTTTTACATTGTAATTGGAAACAAAAATTTTAAAATTTTGCTAACTTACCAGGCGCAAGTATTAAAGAATTCCCGAAGGCGAATTCGAGAAATTTATGGTTGCTGCTTTTGTCCAGAGAATTGTTGAGGATTATTTTGATTTCGTTTGGGTCTTTGGTGGCGTAGTTAGCAGTCGTGCCAACCCACGTCACGTTCGGCAGGCCTATTTCCGATATTATTTCTTGAAAGCCAACGAACAAATCTGAAATAAAACGTATACGAGAGCATTTTTATTTTAAAACACAATAAAATTAAAAAAAAATACTTTTCGTGAAATATCTATAGGTTGTTCCTATAAAGGGCAAACATTGGATTTGTGGAACATCCTTTAGCATATAGATGATACGTCCATTTTTTATGTTTACATATTTATGAAGTAAAACTACAAGCGCTATTAAAAGTACTATGAACACAAGCATGTCCTAAAATAGTAAAATTAACTTAAACACACTAAACAAATTGTTACTTACGCGCTGTAACTTATTGTGTTCTACTAAATTGGGGTTAATTGTTTTAAAATAAATTTAAAATATTACAGGTCCATATAAATTGTTAATTAAGTTCTTAATGTCGTCAATAAAATTAATTTTATTGTACGAGGTACATTTTATTTTAAATCATTCTAAAAATAAGTTTTACAAAATCATTTGGGTAATTTGATGTGTTGTTTTAATTTGTGGTTATGTTTTTGTGACCTTATTACTTTTATTAAATATTTAATTTTATAATAATTATTGTTTATCTGAAAAAGTAAAACCGTTGAACTTATTGTTAAATTTAAACAATAGATTTTTAATTGTTTACTACCAAAGGTCATTCGTTTAAATTTGTTGTATTTTATATAAATTAAAAAATGTATTATTATAATTATATTAAGTATTAGGATTTTGTAAAACCAAAACCATATTTTTAATTAACTACATTAATTAATTTTTTTAAACTTAGTTATATTTTCTTTGATGCTTAAAATTTAAAATTACTTTTAATATACATTTTTAATTGTTATATAATAATATATTTATATATATATATATATATATATATATATATATATATATATATAATTTAAGTTTTTATTGATTGTTTTAATATATTTATTAACGTATTAATTAAAATGTACAATAACATTAAGTAATACAATGTTTTATTAAATAACAATTATTTAAACAAAATAATTAATGCAAAAGTTAAATAACCCTATTTACACGGGCTAAAACAATTATTATTATGAATAAATAAATTGTTTGTTTATTTATACCTTAGAACAAGATTTATACACGAGGTTTATTAGCTTACACTTACAGCAGCTTTACTTGTTATTAATAGATATATAATTTTATATATATTTTAAATGCTAAAATGCAAATTGTTAATTTGACGTTACTTAATTATTGTTGATTGTGTGATTTTTGTAATTAAGGTAAATTTAAACAAAACAGGGAATTTTTTTGACAAAATCTGCTTATTTATGTCATAAGACAGTTTTATTTTTTAAATAATGCAAAAAACGTACTTACAATTATTAAAAGTATCCAGTGAGCTGTTAATAGTTATCGAATTTTTTGATTGGTCCTAACGGTTTTTTACATACCTACTAGAATGTAAAAAACTTACAAAAAATTATATGCAAAGTCTACAGGCATAATGCATTTAATAAATTTATTTTTAGAAACTAATATTTTAACTCAAAACTCAGACAGAAGTATGAACAAATTATTATTATTGAAGTTTAATATGACCTCTTTCAATTTCAAAACGTAAAGGGAGCATACAAAAAAGTATTGCAGTGCATTTGCTACGCCACGAGCTAAAACCGTAGATTTAAATTTTATTTTATTGATGGGACATGTGAATTCGTACTCGTACACCATGGTAGCGATTTACGAGGCCGATATATCTCACTGGTTTTAATTAGAAACTCCTCGAGGGCAAAAAAGGACCAAAATACTACGGGAGGCTTCTCTCGACATACTTTTACAGGGTGTACAAAAAAATGTACAAACTTAACACTAAGAGCAATCTTTTTGTGTTTTTGGTTTTTAGACATCGACTAAAAACCTGTACAGGTACAGCTGTCGTACATCGAAATCCAGTTGTGTATAATAATAACTATATCAGTTAGAGCTGCGCCTGGCGGGTATACAACCCACACGTCCTTAAGCTAGATCTAACTTTCTTAAGAATTGTTCAATTGCACCCCAAGCAACAATTTAAGTATTTGTTACGTATATGGGACTATTAAAGAAACTTTAAAGTGTTTTGCGACAGTCGCCGGTATCTTTATATTACTCTTTCATTACTAAGTTACGACTAAAGTGGGGAACAATTATTGAGTTCCAAAAAGGTAACAAATATGTCACTAGCTATAAACCCTGCTACTATTTGGAACGTAGCTGCTACGTTACTATAACGTTTCAATATCGTTGCTAGAGCGTTATAATAACTTTTATTTATTTGTTTTTACTTCTTTATTAACTGTCTTTGACAAACATATTAGATTATACTATCCCTCCTTTTTTAAATGGAACCACTAAGGACTTGGCTTTTCAATGTCGTCGTTTATTAAATATGTACTGGTAGTTTATAACTTCCAGAATAACAATATAATGTTTAATTAGGAAGGTAAATTTATAAACCCTTTAAATTTTACTGTTGAACTTATGAATTTAGTTTTTGTAAAATAAATGCGCTTTATCAATTATAAACAAATTATTTATTTAATAATGTTTATAAATAAAAAATCTTAATATTTTTTATTAATTTTTTATTTAATTATTAATACCGTCTCTTACCAACAAAATTACTATTTATTACATTTACAAACAATTAAAATAATTTATTATTTACATTACCACGTGGTACTGTACAGTAAAAAATGGCCGATAAGAAGCATTTTCCTATGAAGTAGTTTTCGCTACTTTAAAGTTTTTTTCCACCTTAATTTACTTTAGGGTAGTTTTGGTTAGTACCATAAACGTTCCAAATACTAAAATAATAACTTTTAAGTTATTAACTTTGTAGTTTTTAACTCATGTTCCAGTTTCGAGATTTTAACTTGCTTGGGGACTACAAAGTAAAAATAATTATAATGTAATCTTTAGGTAGGAACCGAAAGTAACTGCTACAAATTAAATTTACTTGAAAGTTTTTTTTACTTATTACACCCTTTTTAAAGTTGCAAAGTCTTCTTGGGGGCAACCAAGTTTTACTTAAATGTTTATTACTTTATAGTAACCATTTAAGGAAAGAATAAAGTTTCTGTTACAAAATATTGCTATTTAAAAGTTAGAATTACTTTTAAGTAAAAATTAAAGTAGCTGTTTAGTATTCTTAACTAATTTAAAGTTATCACCACTTTGGTAATGGTTTTTGGAACCAAAAATGCTGCTTGGGTCTCTTTTGTACCGAGTACACCCTGTATACAATAATGTGTAATATACTTTATGAAGGACGTCAAGACATATATCAAGAGGTACAAGGCAAAAGAGCAGGAACACTTCCATGTATTCCGCAAGTATTAATAATGAATTTTTGGAGGCCTCCCACGTGGCGCGGTGCGATATCAAAGGAGGCGGCGTTTCGTAAAGCCGGACGGGTACACGGATCTAAGTGTGCCGGGACGAGGACTGTTGCGAAGATTTTTACTGTTGTTAGATTGGTACCGGCGTCGTAGCTATGTCGGATAAGAAAGGGTGCAGTAAATATCATAATCAATACCTATTTATAGGTTATGTAGTGCCGAGCGACTGTTAATGTCTTGTGTGGGAACCCCCGAGAGATTTGCTCGAATTTATTGCTTTAAGATTCGAGATTCGCGAAAATGACAAAGAAAGTTGGTTGCATTGATTAAAACAAACTACACTAGTTATAAATGAGTAAAATCATATAAAAAAGTAGTTAAATATAGGTGACTACGGACCAGGAGAGACAAAGTATTCCTAGCGGATAATAATCTTGGCTTTGAAAAGAATTAATATAAAAGAAATTAAAATTTTATGTGAACACACGTGAATGTTGTCCAATCATTGAACTCCAATGGTGAATGGGTATTTTGTTAAAGCCACTGGACGTTAATACTTGTTTTGGCTTAGTAATAATTATAATGTATGTATTGTCCAAGACTATTAATGATCAGTAACTTGCAAATTGAAAAAAGAAAAAGTTTCGTGATTATTGCTTATCTTTTTTAAACCAAATGGATGCTATTTTCAAAGAAAATTAACTTATTAAATTATTTTTCAAAAATTCAAAAATGTGTGATTTAATATTTGTAAAACCAAAAACGTTACTTTTTACTCCAAAAATGTCCATAAGGCGATGTACTATTTCTGCCATTCAGGCATTTGGCATAACTTCATCGAAATGAAGTTTTGCCCTTAAAAGTTCTTTTACTTTAGAATCTGATATTATTTTGGCATAGTTATCTTTTTATATCAATATTATATAATAATTAACAAGTAAATTATCAATAATAAATTTAACTGCCTGACAGTGTAATTAATTAAGTGGCATAAACTTCTTAATAAAAAAATTAATTCTAGGTTAGGGAACGTGTTTCTAAAATTCCTATACAAAACTTTATGTTTTTAAAAATTTATTTTATTATTATTTATTTTAATTTATTACACTACCAATTAAACGCACATATCTCCAAAGCGGTTACTTGGAGCGGCTAGATAAAAAAAGTAATATTTTTCCTATTAGGTAAATACACTAAGGCGCAAAAAGATGTGACCATTTAAACGCATGCAAAGTGTCGCAGACAGCGCCCTCTACAGAAATTTATTTTTTCCGTCCTGAAAAACCCCCTAATATCAAACTTTGTGCAAAAACTTTCGTTTTTCCAAAGTTATTTAATAAAATCAAAAAGGGAACTTTCAACTTTGACTGAATTTGATATAGAGGTAAATTTAGTTACATCGCATTATTTTGGTCCCAGGAATATGTAGTAGTATTTTGTACCTTGTATAAGACATTACAAACTTTCAGTAAGATTGTCTGTCTGGTTTTCTAGTAAAAAATCATTAAAGTTGCTAAAAATACATGTTATTACATTTTTTCGTACCTGCAATAATAATGTTCAACCAGGCGGCAATTTCTATACGTTTGTGTAATCGTTGTTGCCGCCTTACAGGGGATTGATAATCTTGGTAAAGTTCTAAATTGAGTATTTGTTCAGATTTTTCCAGCAAAGCATCATGTCACTACTTACCATCGATAGAACACACACAAACAACGGTTTTGGAAGGATTCCAATCCGAACCGTGGTTCCATGGAACCATCATTGAAATAAGCTGTGTGGGACGTTATCGAAATGTTATAACACCATGTCAACCGAGCCGACTGGAATGCAACGATGGAAAGTGGGAGGGATCTATCCCTAAATGCGGTAAAAATTCTAATATGTATTAAAACAAATATATATTAGACTGGGCCAAAAAATCGACTATTTTTTTTTTTGAAATTATATCGAAAATATTGTTTGGGGTGACAAAAAAAAATTATGGTGAAAGTTTGAGTCCATAATATTAATATTAAGAGGTCTATCATCACAATTTTAGATTTTTTTCCTGAGCGAGTTTTTGTCTCAGAACTCCCAAATCATTGAGTTTAACAAAATTGACTTAAGAACATTTTTTGAAGAAAATTGAATGCTCTACAGAAAAGGTTTGATTGGAATTTCCCGTCAGATGAACCGTTTTCTTACAATCATGCCTTAAAAATTGGTATAGTTTTACAATTTGATTTTTTAACTTTGGAATTTTGTAATTCAATCAAATGCTCTACAAAAAAAGTCTTTTATCATTTTTGGCTAAATTCACTCCATCAAAAATTATTCAAGGTTAAATTTGAAGTCAAAACGAAATTTTAACCTTGAATAACTTTTGATTGAGTGAATTTAGCCAAAAATGATATAAGACTTTTTTTGTAGAGCATTTGATTTCCCATAAGAATATTTATCGTTTTTTTTTCAGGGTACTGATTTTTACATATTTTTTTTTGTCACCCCAAACAATATTTTCGATATACTTTCAAAAAAAAAAATGTCGATTTTTTTGGCCCAGTCTAATATATATGTATGTATTTTTTTTAGAAGTTGCACATGAGTGCTACGCACCGCCCATGGTACCGTACGCGCAGATCATCAACTTCGACTTTTTCGACTCGGAAAACCCCCCTGGAAAATTTCCCATAAAATCGCAAATCACTTATCAATGCTTGGATAGTTACCAGCTGCAGGGGAATGAGGTTTTGAAATGCGAAGTGGGCGGGTGCTGGGCGCCCAATAGGATACCGGAATGCATGCCCTATTATAAATGTAAAGTATACGGTTTTAGCATAAATGAGGCCTGTCAGAGCAAAGTCAACAATCTCCCATCAGACTAAAACTGAGTAAATTGAGATAATTGATTTTGGTATTTTAAATTGTAGGTTTGTAATTTTTTTTATATATTAAGTATATTGAAATATTGTTGTTGTTAGTCTAGTAGCCAACTACAAGGTCTCCAGGATGCATAGTATAGGTGAAATCTATAATTATAAATTGAAGATTGCTGACTTTGATATGAATTGCTGGAGATTGCTCATTTTGTTGTAAACGTTTAAGGAGATTTAGAAAAATAAACAAAGAAATAATTGTATTTTTTCCTTTAATGTTTATAAAATTTAACTATACAATCAATGTGGGAAAATTCTGAACTGGACCACATAAATCTGGAGTTTCTTCTAAATCTGGGACCAGGTTGCCTCGTGCAAAAAAGTTTTTATAGTACAACAACTCATCATCTTCTTCCCACTTTGCCCCGTAATGTTTTACTTGCAATATTTTGACATTATCAGCCTTTTCTTGCTTTACCTTTACGTCTTATTATTTTATAATAGCACAAATTAAACAAGATAACTTTTTTTATAATTCTTAAAACAATAAAACGTATATATACCTATTTTAAATATATTTTTAAGTGCCATTTACTGCAATAGAACAGTATGCACTAGTAAAAAACACAAAATTAAATCTCTAAAATACGTTATAACATCAAATGTTAGGATATCAGGTGGCACAAATTACTAATTTCTAATGGTGGAATTGGAGATTGTATACTTTGCTGCAAATGTATCAGTGGAGATTGTCGACTTTGCACTAAATGTCATTTTTAAAATAGGATTTTAGGCAGGATTTAGCTCCTTTTGCAGCACATAAACTTTATCGTCTTATAGATAATTAGTTGAAGTACAGTCTCCTCCAAAAATCTAATTTTTGACCAAAAGTGGAGGTTGTCGGTTGTGCTATGGCAGGCCTCAAATAAAAACCAATATTTAAGATTCAAATATTTCTTTGTATTTTTAGGTTTCGGCAAGAACAACTTGCTAGCCAAAGTGGACGGTTTCAACGCTATCATTTGGTCCGCCATCACCGGTGCCGGGGTGGTGGTGGTTCTGCTGATCCTGTGTTGCGCCATCATGACCAAGAAAAAACGCCCGATGACCAGAACGACCACGAACTCCCCTCCCGTTTTGAGGACCCAAATCAGCGACCACGCTACCTTGCTGAACAACCCTGACCGATTGGCGCTGATTGCGTTTGCAGACGGCGTGCAAAGCCAGAACGAGGTAAATCCAGTTTTTATTGCAGGTTCACCATCGGCGACTGATAGCTCATTATAGAAATCTTCTTTTCTTCTACCCAATTTTCCAAGTGGTCTAGTTAAGAAAGTCTTTTGTGGTAGATTCGTGAATGAAACGGGGTAAAACCAGGTCGGTCAAAATTCTGTATAATCCCAGCAAACAAGTGATTGACTCAACTTTATTGACTTAATGCATTTGGCTAGGCTTTAGATCAAATAGATCCTGCATCGACCACTGACTTATTTTAGAAGAAGTATCTGAAACAAATGAAATCTATATGAATGTTAATCGATTTGTAGAAGGCATTTGATTCAGTTAAACGGGATGTTCTATGGCTTACCCGAAAAATGTTACCGAATTTGAAAGATGTTTTATAAAGAGGATATAGCAAAGAAAAATAAAACGGATTTCACCTTTGCCATGTTGTCAATTTTTATTTGATTGCATTTAAATTTTATCACAACAAAGAAGTTAAATAGAGCTACAAAATAAATTAAATTTTATTTAAATCGAGCAAAAATTGATCATGATGTATCACTTTGAATTTTAAAAATATCCGAATTTTGGCTAAAAAATCGATTTTCTTTCGATGAAAGCAAGATTTTTAAAGAGAATACCATTATCAATGTATGTGGTATTTTTTTAGTTTAATAAAGACCCATAGCAACATTACCAACTATCCTTGCTTAAATTAGAAGTTTAAAAAAATATATATAAGAATCTTGAAAAAAAAAAAAATATGAAAAAAAAACAGTGACAAAACAAAAAACATACGGATTGTTTTTTTTTTCAAGTCACATCTCTATATAATATATTATGAGATATAACAACAGGACAGAAAAAAATAGTATAATAAAAGACAATGAAAAAATAGAAACAGTAAAGGAGTTTTGTTACTTAAGAAGTATAATTAGTTTAAAATGTGAAACGAAAAAGGATATAATATATCCTTTTTCGTTCCATATTTTAAACTAATTATACTTCTATATATAAGACTTCCCAGAAAAACCAAGATTAGAATATTCAGATCAAATTTATGGCACAGAAACATAAAAAAATTGTACTTACACAGAAAAAATTCAAACCTTTATTAATAAGTGAAAATTATACGAAGAACTGCACAAAATTAAAGAAAAAAAAAGTGTAAAAACAATTAGGAAATGTAGATGGAAACACATTTTTCATTAGCACGACAAGCACCAGAAGATACCAGGAAAAATGGGCAGAGTTAATAACACGTGTAAAAGAATAGTTAATAAAGAACTTTAAAACCAAGGTTTAACATTGACAAAAGCAAAGAACATGTCAAAAAACAAAACAAAAAATGGAAATAATTAGAAGAGGAATATGTTTGCCCAGAAACACCATTAATTGATGGAGTAATTTTATTGTATATTCTTAAATATTTATTTATGGAATATAAATTTAAGACATTACAAAAAAACTTGTTGAAAGCATAATTTAAAAACAAAAAAGCCAAAAGCCAAAAATTAATTACACAATTATTTTTAATTCCTTCCCTTTGGTATAAATTTCTATTTATAGGTAGAAAATCTGGACATTTTTATATTATATATTCAAGAAAACGAGTAACCCTTGTTGAGTTTTACTGTTGTAATTTGACAAAATACATAATTTGGTTTTACCTGTAATCCCGGCGCATTCGCCATTTTTGACAGTAATTTCTTAAATTAATAATTAATTTCTCATTTGATTGAAACTTGGTATTGTATTTTTTACATGGGTATATTTTATTAGAACAAAAAAGGTATATTAGGACCATACTTGAAGTTTTTAACTCACCTTTGCAACTAAAGTTTTGAGGGTAGAATTTGTTATTTTTTTGTCGAAATGTTGAAAAAACTTTGACAATAAAAATAACTCACCCAAAAAATATTTTATTTTTTATCAAAGTTATTGTCAAATAAAATTTTTGGTCACTTTTCAAATAAATGCACAGCAGTTTTCTTGTAACGTGATATTTTTTTAGATTTAAAAGAAAACACGAAAAAAAATCATTTGTAATACAAAATTTGATAAATTATTATTAAAAAAAATCCATTTTGTTGAAAAGTTGCCAAATATTTCATTAGACAATAACTTTGGTCGATTAATTTTAAAAGAACAGTTTTTTTCAACATTTGCACAAAAAACAATTCAAATCGTAAGAAACAACATTTTTTTACCTAATCGCATCACCTCGCAAAGTTACGTAATTTCCATCTTTACACTTCTAAGTCCTTTTCCAATGGGTCTCGTTCTCAAGGTCCCTTCTTCCGATTGTTTTAGAAAGGATCTATGTGCCATTGTAGCGTTTTTTATAAGCGATTCAATTCTCAAACTGTGCGTGTGTGCGAGTATGCAACCAATGTACAGTCAAGGAAAATAGCAATTCACTTTTGCGTTAATTTGGTTAAGTTGGACTACACTGCACGGCACTAATGAGGTCCAAAGTACTGTCTGTGAGATCTATTGGTGGAGTACACTCCGTTAAAGTTAAAAACCTACTTTTAAACATTAGGTTTAGATTATTAAAACATGACAGAAAAGAATGGGAAGTACATTACTTTTTCCTCCGACTGTACTGTTCAGAAAACGCACCTGTATCGGTTAAATCTGCGATTCGACGCTGAAAGATCTATTGCATTGCGTGCGACAATAAACTGCGGGCAATTTACTCGTGTAGTGGAAGCATAAAAATATTAGTACTTAGATGGAAAGCGGGGAGAAATATTTCTTCGGATCTTTGCTATAAAGGGTAGACATGGCATTATAATGGGAATATGGTGAATGCTGCTGGGAAAAATCGTGATTTGGAATAATATACGGTTAAATTAAAATTAAGGACTTAACTTGGCTTGCTACAGGTCAAGTCAGGTTTTTTTAATTTAAAAAAAATACGTTTTCATTACGCAATAGCGCCATCTAGAGTAGATTGTCAAAATATATAAGAGATCTCTGTGAAAATGAAATATGCTTGTGAGAAATTTAACGAAATATATTAGACTTACATTGTAAGTTGGAGTGAATAGATTGCTAGCTGGGTCATTCCATCGTTTCGGGTGGTACATTTGTTCAACCAAAGTATAAATTTTTATGTATTTTAAAATAATATTTTTGCAATTCAAGTGTCTTATTCTCTACGTTTTAAGTTGTTCTATCTAAATTGTAAAATTAGTACAGTTTAGCTTATAGGATAACGATTTAATAAGTCGAAAAGTGTGCGTTTCGGGTGTTACATTTGTTCAACCAAAGTATAAATTTATTTGAAATTTAGCGAATTTTCTTAGGGAAACATTCCTAAAAATTACAGGCCTCCAAAAGTATAATATTTACTTACCATCTACTGTCACAAATAACGTTTTACTATTTTTTTTATAAAATTTTACTTTGTTTCGGGTGTTACCATGGTTCTGTTTCGGGTGTTACAAGTACAAAAATTAAACACTTTAAATGGACAAAATCGGTGTTTTATTAGTCTCTAAGTACTACAAAATAAGTAATTAAAAAATAAACATAAATGGAATTAATTCTCCTTAAACATAACTTAAGCAGCTTCGGGTGCGATTGATAAATCGGCAAAACGGGTAAAATCGTTATTATTGCCAAAAATCGGTAGCAACATAATTATTGACGAAAATCGTAGTATTTGGTATTTTAAGGTCCGTTGCCATTTCGGTAGAAATACCGAAATTTCGGTAGGTTCGACAACACCATCGTTAAAGCAGTCAAACCTCTTTAAAAGAAATTTAAAAAAAGTTGTAACACCCGAAACGTTACAAATTTTAATCAAGGAAAAAACATATCAAATTAGTCTTATGCTTAGATATGAGTTGGTATTTTAAAGGTATAATAATAAAACAATTACCTGATTTTTCGTTTCGGGTGTTACAGTTACAAGAAGAAAACGCACTTATATAATCTCAAATCACAACGTGGCAAAACGGTAGACAGACTGACAATTATTTTTTTTCGTATTTGAAATAAACTGCGCACCACTCAATGTGTCGCGACCAAAAAGTTCGTTCTTTTTCAAAACGACATAACTTTTTCGTTTCTTGAACGAATTTATTTTGGTCTGTGATGTCTGCTAGCCCCATCCTCTGGCAATTCATGATATATATATGAAGCTTAAGGTTCTTCAAATAAATTTCCTACAGGGTGATATGTTAAACGGTGAAAAATTTCAATAACTTCATCCAAGGCCCGTTTGTAAAAAAAATTTTTTTTTTCGTTTTTACTTTGAAATAATGAAGTATTATGTCTTACCTTGAAATATTTTTCAAATTTTTGGAATTATAATCTTGACAACGAAAATATGATTTTTTTTTTACAAAAGAGTACATTTAAGGCTTTTTAGTAGGCAATTTAACAGTTGTAATTGTTTTCGAATTTTAATTCTTAGTGATTTTGGTTTTATCTGAAACTTAAATTTGACAACTGAATCACAATCAGGAGGTCAAAATTATAAAGAAAACATGTCACGAACGTAAATATCGGTTCACAATTAGTTTTCGGAAATTTTCACCAAAATGTCATTTTGAAAAAGTGGTCTTTGCTTAGGCCCCTCTGAAAATAATGGAAGTTTGTTGCTTGTCGCTTGTTCAGAATTATTCAAGGAACAATCTTTCACCATCTAATCTCCTTGTTCTTAAAGGGACTGAGTGTATTGCCTACCAAAAAGCCTTAAATGTACACTTTTGAAAAAAAAATCAAATTTTCTTTGCTAAGATTCCAATACAAAAAATTTGAAAACCTTTTCAAGGTAAGACATAATACTTCAATATTTCAAAGTAAAAACGAGAAAAAAATTATATTTTACAAACGGGGCTTGGATGAAGTTATTGAAACTTTTGACCGTTTTACATATCACCCTGTACGAAATTTACTTGAAGAACCGTGATCTTCATATCTATAGCATGAATTGCCAGAGGATGGGGCTAGCAGAAATCACAGACCAAAATAAAATCGTTCAAGAAACAAAA